TCTGCAAGTGCCCGTGAGCTCTGCTGTAGTTAACGCAAAGTTGACGTACACAGGCCATCCTGAGGGTCCTGGCTGAATGCCGCAGGAAAGGCCCCTTTCCACAAGGCTTAAGGTACATATCGGGCAGGAAGCAACCTCACAGACCCCACTGGCTCCCTCCCTGCAGCTGCTCCACCCAAGCCAAGGCAGTGCCCTGCCACGGCGTCGTGTAGATTCCAGCAGCAACAGCTCACATCATGGTGCCTGGGTCCGAGTCCTCCTCTGTTCCCAACTGTTAATGTGCACCTGGAAGGTGACAGCTTAGCCATGAGAAACACTCTGGCTCACACCTGGCTCTGGATCAGCTGTTGGGGTGTCTGGGGAGAGCGAACCAGTGGACGGAAGCTCACCATCTGTCTGGCTTTCACACGAACATAGCTCACGAGTTATTGATCCAGTCACAGCATCCTCTTGGCAGAATTAGACAGCACTTGAACTGCTCCTTCAGTGCAGTCTGCACAGCCACACACTCCTGACGCAGGTGAGGCAAGGACAGAGCCCCAGCTAGGGCCCCGCACACTGGGTACAGGGAGCCTCTCCGCCCCCAGTCTGTGCCGCCCCACAAGGCCACGCGGGGGAGACCCATCCTCCCCGGGCAACAGGGAGATCGATGCTGTCGTCCAGAGTGGGTTTGTTATCCAAGGCTCTGGGCTTCTGTCCCGCTCTGTGCCCCTGTCCCACATGCTGCCCCAACCATGGGAAGACACGACCAGGCACCCTCACCAGATGTGCCCCCAGCCCCAATCCCAAGCTTCCAGAACCCGGATCCCCACCAGGCTCCTAGCTACCCCAAGCCTCCTGGTTTGTTTTGTTGCCCACATTAGGCTTTCGCCAACACTCCTAGCTGGGTGTTCACAGGCCCAGGCTCGAGTGCTGTATTCACCTTAGATTCTCACGAGCCCCAGGGATTCTGGGAGTGACACCTCCATAGCAGAGACCAGGCCCTGCCGGAGTCAGCTGGTTAGCAAGGGCCCGCAGTCAAAGTGCATGTCCAGACATCGGCCTGGCCCAGAGGCCGCTGCCCGTGCACGCCCGCACCCAGGCCCCGCCGTGCAGGCAGCTGAAATCCCGGACAGCAGGATGTCGCTGCGTGGGGGCTAGCGTCCAGAGGCCGGATGCTGGAAAGCTTTCCAAATATTTAGATGTCGAAAGGCAGGCAGATCTGTTTGGTAACTTCAGGCTCTGCTCCTAGCTGGCTGATAAGCACATGGAGTGGGTTGCGGGAGCGCCTACTGTTCTGGCTGACGGAGAAGCTAGGGCGAGGATGTGGGATGAGTGGGGGCAGGGACATCCCATGGCACCCGCCCCACACCGCAGCGTGAGGCCAGCCGGCTCGCAGGCCGCCTCCTCGGGCCCCAGCAGGCTTAGGCAGGCCTGGGCCTCGGGCATCACCCCTTGGGAAAGAATGCTGGACCCGGCCCAGCAACCACTGCAGTGAGAGCAGGCTGGGGTGTGCTTCTTGTTAACTTTGCTGCGTTGTTTACCACAGCTGCTTGCTTGTGGGAAGAAGGGTACAGGGTGCCCTGGCAGGGGGAGGACCGGGCAGGCCTCCAGAGCATGGGCTCCAGGTGGGAAGCGTGGGTGCAGGGTGTCCTGGCAGAGGGAGGACCGGGCAGGCCTCCAGAGCATGGGCTCCAGTGTCTCAGCCTAGCACCCAGAGGACCCGGGAAAGACGCAGGAACAGCGTGGAGGCATTGAATACATTCAGAGCCCCGTGGGCTGCAGTGCCCACCAGCTTTGTTCCTACCCTGGGCCACGGACTCTCCCACGACTGCCTTGGGTAAATCCTCAGTTGTCACCTACATTTGATGTCAGCCAACTCTGCCTGTTCCTGGCTACCTCTCTTCCCTACTCTGAGCAGAAACCTGCTGGGCCAGCTTGGCAAGGAGCCGCTCCCACCATGCACAAGCACCTACGGGCAGACCCTCTCAGCCAGCTGTCTGCTGCACTTGCCGCTGCCTGTGGTTTTCGCAGTAGCACTGTGTGAACTCCACCCACACAGCAGCTGTTCCTCTCCTCCACCAGGCGTGCTGGGTGTCTGGGGACTCATGGCAACTGAAGGGAGTGTTCTGGCCACAGTGGTACACACATTAACAAGCATACGAACGAGGAGCCAGACACAACACAAACAGGGATCTTCAGGAGTGGAACAGTCATGCTGGCCCGAGAATGCTGGTGCTCAGATAGGGCCACGCCCACCCTCTTGCCCCGAGTTGAAGCTTTTGCACACTGGGGACACCCACTGCTGTGCCATCCTGGCCCTACTGCAGCTCAGCTACGCTTACCCTGCGGCGTGCCAGCCAGCCCCGCCTCCTGAGCCCCCCAACACAGACCTGGCGTTTGTCACTACCCAGTGGAGCATCCCTAACTCCCAGGAAGACAGACTTTTAACACTCTCCCCAGTCCACACCTGGCTCACGCCCACCTTAGGGAGGCTGCAGAGTCCTCACTGGAGCCACAAGGCACGGCCCATCTGCACAGCAGCAATAGTGACAGCAAACACCAGGCTGAGCTGTTACCTCCACAATGCGTGGCTGCTTGTGACGTAGCACCAGCTGAGCCACACCACCACCTCCCACCTCCCTGCAGTGAAATGTCCTGGCCTTGGCCTGCCTCCCAGGCTCAGTTCCCCGGTCTCTGCAGATCCCGGGCATGGTCTGACTACACCTGCCAAGGCCTCTGCACCTGCCACTTCCCCAAGACCAACACCCTCCACCTGCCTCGACAATCCCTACTTACTCCCTGCTTATCTTCTCCAAGCCTCACATCCTCGCCGGGCACCCGCGTGCCCCCCGGCCTCTACACCTGCTCTGCTGTCTACACCTGGGCAGGGCAGGTGGCGGCGCCAGTATCTTCCAGCTCCTGCTGGCCTCACAGGGTCCTGACAGTGCAGGCAGCAAGCTGACAGGTGTGGATGGCAGTGAGCCACTGTGAGCAACAGTCTAGCTCATCCCATGGACCCCACCCAACTTCTACTCCTGTCAGCCCCACCGAGGCTATCTCAGCCACACCCCCGATGACGGGGATTAATTATGCTTCCAATTCTGAGACCAGCTACACTCGCAGACCCTGGAAATTCACAGGCACCATGCATTTCCTGCATGGGCACTACCAAGGGCTGCAGCATGGTCTCCACTCCCCCAGGCCTGAGACCCCGCTTCGGTCGACAGAGGGGACTCCCCGTTTCCCACCCCAGCCCCTCTGGAGCCTCAGCACTTGCTGTTTCCTTTCGCATCGGTAACTGCCACGTAGACTGCATGACACACACGTCGGGGGTGACTCCTCACAGCCCCCAGCCCAGCTGCACTGCCCGACAGAGGAGCCACACTGGCCTGGCCACGCCCCTGCAGGAAGGCGTGTGGCCCCTTTCCGCACCGCAGCTCCTAAGGCAGCCATCGACAACGGTGTGCAGGCGTACACGAGAATCACGGCCCGGGACAAAGGGCGATCACAAGTGTTTTGTTGTTTCTTAAAGAAACTGCAGCCAGGTTTCCCTTCCCACCAGCCCCGCGTGAGGACGGGGTCTCCCGTCACCTCTCCCAGCCTTCCCACCAGCCCCGCGTGAGGACGGGGTCTCCCGTCACCTCTCCCAGCCTTCCCACCAACCCCGCGTGAGGACGGGGTCTCCCGTCACCTCTCCCAGCCTTCCCAGCAGCCCCACGTGAGGACGGGGTCTCCTGTCATTGTCCCTGGCCTGGGCTGCAGCACCTTTGTCCCGGCCCTGCTGTGGGTGTGTTGTGACCACTCATGCTCACAGCGGCTCAGCCGCACACTACCCTCATGGCCCACAACGCCGGGCACCTGCCCCAGGCCCTTGTCACCTGGGTACCCTCCCTGTCTGCGGTGTGATTTCTAAGAGGACCGTGGGTTCTTTACAGCTGTGTGTTGAGTTCTGGAATATTCCATGCGACACTCCTGTTTTTTCCAGATATGTGGTGCACAAATGTCTTCTCCCAGTCGCACACCGTACCCTCTTCACAGACATCTTGCAGAGTGTAAGATGATGATGTCTGATTTATCAATTTCTCTTTCTCACTTCTGATTCTAAGAATCGCACTTAGTCCTGGATCCCCAAAGTCTGTGCTATCTCTTCTGGAAGTCTACTCACAGGCCCATGGTCATCGTAAGAGGAGGTCCCAGAGCTTAGGTGCACCCCGAGTCCGGGACGCTGACCTTGCAGCAACGGGAGGCCGGAGATTCCCAGCGTTCTCCCCACGCTGCACTTAACGTGTGTCCTGTGCGGAGGCGAGTGCAGCACACACGCGTGTGGGCGTGCTGGGACCAGGCTGCCCTCCGCACACAGGACCCCAGCCGTGACCATCACACCGCCGGGCACGCACATGGCCTGACCGCCCAGGCCTTGGTGGAGTTGAGCACACGCTCGGCACACTGAGCTGAGGCCTGCTGATCCTCTCTGTTCGCAGGTACCTCACCTCACTGCATGTCACTGCATGTTTCTAGGTGACCGTGGGTTTGTGTCTCACTGCACCTGCTCTGGCGCCAGAGGCCAGCTGGAACACAACAGACACCTCAGCCTTGGGCATCATCACTGACTCCCGACTGCCTGCACACAGAGCGAGGTGCACAGCACGCAGGGTGCCCCAGGGCTCCACTAGGGCACAAGGGACACCCCTGGGCAGAGACTAGCGGGGGACCCCTCCGCAGGTGCAGGGCCCTGGGCTGTCCGTCATGCAGAAACCGGCTGGGAGGGTGCTGGTTCTTAGCACTGCACCCACAGCAGTGACACACATAGGAGGGAAGGCAGAAGCATCCTACAAACACACATCCGGGTGGTACCTGGGGGGCTAAACAGCTACAGCGGAGAGCACCTCGGGCCTTTCCCTGCCCCACACCCTAGCAGGCTCTCTGGCCTTGCCCCAGCACCTGCCAGGCCAGACTGCCCTCAGCCCCTTGGCACAGGAGGTTGGTGACCTGGTGCAGTGGTCACACAGGGGACTTACCATGCCCTCCTTGGTGCAGTGCGGCTGCGCTGCTCCGCAGGGGCTCGGGTGAGCTGAACAGGGGGTATCGCACGGGATTCTGCCCTGCAAGACAGCACAGTAGGCTCGGTTAGCCTCCCTGGCAGGTGCTGCACATGGCCCACGCCACCTTCCTTACAGGAGTGCACACAGCCCATTCTGCCTTCCTTACTGGTGCACACGGCCCATTCCTCCTTCCCTTCGGGGATGCACACGGCCCATTCTGCCTTCCCTTCCGGGATGCACACGGCCCATTCCTCCTTCCCTTCCGGGATGCACACGGCCCGCTCCTCCTTCCCTTCCGTGATGCACACGGCCCATTCCTCCTTCCTTACTGGTGCACACGGCCCACTCCACCCTTCTTACTATATGGTGTTTCTGGAGACATGGCAAATCCTGGGGTTGTACACACAGGCTCCATGCCACGGAGCACCCTGCCATCATGCATGTCCAGGTCCGGTGGGTACGCAGAGCTCACCATCTGAAATGGGCATGAAGAGAACATGTGAGGCAGGAGTTGGGGTGGTCCTCTCCCGGCAGTGGCACCCAGAGGGCAGCCTCATCTGAGAGGGACCAGGAGGCAGGGTTCCCACCATGGGCTAGCTCATGTCTGTCTCGCAGCATGGCGTCACACAGCTGACGGACACCCCAGGGTCCAGGGAGTCCCTGCCAGCACCTAGCAATCAGCATTCCTACATTGGGCCGCCAAAGCCCGATGAGATCACGTTGCACACAGCCGGCCTCTATCTACCAGCTTGGGACCCAGCGAGTCAACCAACCATGGATGGAAAACATTTAGACAAGATGGGGCTGCTGTGTGGCACAGAGGGTTAAGCTGCCTCCTGAGATGCCAGCATCCCATGTGCATGCTGGTTCAAGTCCTGGCTGCTTCACTGCTGACCCAGCTCTCTGCTGATGTGCCTGGGAAGGTAGCAAAGGACGGTCCAAGCGGTGGACCCCTGTTCCCTGCATGGGATACCTGGTTGGGGTTCTAGACTCTGTCTGTTGCAGCCATTTAGGGATGATTCAAATTCTCTTGCTTTCTCCTCCCCTCAACTCCCCCTTGCCTTCCAAGTTAATTAAGTTATTAATTATTAGAAAAGAAAATGTTCAGAACAGAAAAGCTGCATGCGCACCGAGCAAGCGCTTTCCTCGGACCAGTGCTGTAAATGCAGCATGACCTCCCTGGAACAATGAGGGAGTGTGACCTCAGACGACGGGGGCACACAGGGAGACACACACAGGCAGTGTGACTCAGACGACGGGGGCACACAGGGAGACACACACAGGCAGTGTGACCTCAGACGACGGGGGCGCACGGGGAGACACACACAGGCAGTGTGACCTCAGACGACGGGGGCACACGGGGAGACACACACAGGTTCTCTGCAGCCTTAGCCCTCTGACCTCATGGACTGGGTATCTGTACACGCTGCAGCTGCTGCAGGGTCCTGGACCCCTCCCCAGATGTGGAGGGAAGAGTGTGGTGTGTTCAGACACATGAAGGTGCACCACAGGTCGGAAGGCTGGCACAGTGACACAGCAGACGAAGCTGCTTCCCGCAGCATCAGCAACCCACAAGGATGCTGTGAGTCTGGGCTGCTCCACTCTCAATCCAGTTCCCTGCCACTGTGCCTGGGAAAGCAGAAGATGGCCCAAGTCCTTTGGCCCCTGCACTCATGAGGGAGACCCAGAAGAAGCTCCTGGTTCCTGGCTTCACCCTGGCCCAGCCTTGGCTGTTGTGGTCGTTTGGGGAGCGGAATGAGCCAGTGGATGGAACTCTGCTTTTCAGATAAACAAAAATCTTACACACACACGCAGCCGAACAGAAGTCTGGGAGGAAGCCCTAGTTGGAGCCTGGGCTTCACGGGCACTGCTGATGCATCTACTCTGCAGGTTCTGCTTTCGAGGCTTAAGCGATGGATCCCACTGCACACCTGACCCACCTCTGACTAGGACTAAAAGCTGGGGCTACGTCTCCTGGGGCCGGGGGATGGCGTGGGAGGAACGGTATGCCCACTCTCAGCTGTGCCTTCCACCCAGGGAGTCCTGCTAAGGTGGGGCTTGGTGCTGTGCCACCTCCAACCTTCAGAGTCCACTTGCGTGCCCATTCTACAGACCGGAACTCGGAGGCAGCGTTTCTCCGTCCCACACACCTGCACCACACCCCACACCCCAGGAGACCTGGGGGAAGAGGTGGGGGCCCAGACAGGGATAATGCCACACATACCTCTTTGGCATCTGTGGGAGATGAGAAAGGCACCAGGCCAGAGGCCACATCCACACCAGGCTTCCCCCATGCATGCTTGGAGAAGGACAGCTGCGCCCCGCCATCATTGTCATACTGACCCAGGCTCAGCTTCCGGAGTCTTCCACCCAGGGGCTGGTCACTGGAGGCACCTGCCAGGAGAGAAGCGGTGAGCATGGCAGAGCGGGGAAAGCTCCCACGCAAACCCACTGGCAGGGCTCCCGGGGTACTCAACAGCTCAGCACTGCTCAGCACTGCCCCCAGGAGCCAGGGACCTCCTTGCAGAACATGCCATGGGGTGGACCCAGCAAGGGGACACACCCCATGGAGCAGGGAGCAGGGACGGGGCGGGGGCCTGACAACCTCACATGGCCAACAGCAATTCCTGTGTGCAACGTGGTCACCACACAGGCTCCAGCACCAGCCACCTGCCCCCGCAGCTGTCCAGGCACTGACTGCTGGTCTGAAGCCACCTCCCCACACTGGGGGCATGGGGCCAGGACCGGGGCCAGGAGTGACATCCATCCTCCTCCGAGGGAGTCTTAAGATTGCATGAAGGGCTGACATTTCTGTGACAGTGGCTTCCAGAACCCCAGGCCCTGTGGGGACTCCTTCACATTCTAGGCCTGAGCTCCAGTCATGCCACACCACCAGCACACGTGAGGCATACCTGGGACTCACGGTGGCCCCTGATCCATCCACACTGCTCTAGCAGCAGTCTACGCCACCAAGAAATGAGAAGCGCCAGCAGGAGCAAGGTCACATCAGGCCATGCACCAGGTTTGCCCGTAGGTGGGCACGATGGGGGCACAGACAGAGGGAGCCCCCACAGCCCGGCAGCACAGGGCCTGGGCGCCACGAGGACGTCCAGCGCCCCTGTGGGAGCCCCACAGCCTGGCAGCACAGGGCCTGGGCGCCACGAGGACGTCCAGCGCCCCTGTGGGAGCCCCACAGCCTGGCAGCACAGGGCCTGGGCGCCACGAGGACATCCAGCGCTCCTGTGGCCAGCGTGCCCTACACCAGCCCAGGGCTCTCCCTGTCACACAGGCTCACCTCCCACCACTCAGACACACACAGACACGATATACGCTCCCATATGTGCATACACAGTACACTTTCCCAGGCACACACGGGTACACACACAGGCACACACGGGTACAAATGGCTCGCGAGCCAGGGCTCAGCTCAGCAGTCCCACAGGGTGGGAGCTCACTTCACTTGCTGCTGCCCCTCCCCTCCCACAGCCCTCCCCCTCAGAGCTGCCCCCTCCAGCTCCCAGGACCACGTGACTCCACAGCATCAACTCCCCAGGGGAAGTGGGGGGCGTGTCTTCAAAACGTGCCTAGAAAGACAGCTCAAACTGCCAGCACATTCCCAAAGGCATCAGTCTTTCATCACCAGGAGCATCCGGAAGCTTCCATACACACCAGAAATGTTCACACCAAAACACACCCAGCTCTCATTTCCATGTTTCTGTAACTCACCCACAAAGGCTCCAGCGACAAACCCAGCACCACAAGGAAGACCCAGCTGCAGCCCAAGGTGACTCCCCAAAGCTGTCTAAACAGGGCCACGCAGGGCTGTCCCCACGCAAACCTCGCACGGACCACAGGGGAACAGGTACGCCCCAGTACTCACAGCACCCCCCAAGGGAGAAGTGCTTTCACAGTGGTGGTGGTCGTGTGGGTGTGACGGGGCACTTCTGGCAACGGCAACACGCCCTGCTAGAAAGCTGTGTATGTACCTACTTCCTGTTACGATCAGGGGTCCTCACGAGGGTGGGGGCTGCACGGCGTGTCTGTCTCGCCAGGAGCTGGGCTGACACAGGGACCACACCCACCAGCCTAGCTCTCCCAGTGTCCCCTCTGAGAAAGACCACAAGCTCCCAGGCAGGGGACTTCCACAGGCCCAGCCGAGTCAAGCCATGCCCACTCAGAGCTGCACCTGCTGTCCAGCTCCTCCGCAGCCTGAGCGGGCCCCAGAGGCTCCTCAGGTCCCCAGTGCCCCAGCACACATCGAGGCCACGGCCAGCCCACTGAGCTCAGGGTGCGCGATCAATCATGAAGGATGCCTACCCGAAGCGCACGTGCACAGCCACGCATACAGTTCGTGATGGCCAGAGCCAGGCCACACCCAGGGCTGGTCTGTCTCCAGGCTCACAGGAGAACCACATCCAGAGGCCTGCACACACTCAGGACGCTAGGGAAACTGCACCCTCGAGAGCGAGGCCCACAGGGCTTTGTGGCTGGACTGAGGCCTCAAGAGCTTTACTCCCACACAAATGCCTGCTGAGGAAGGCGGCTGGTGTGGCCGGGAAAGCCCAGCCCTCTTCCAGGCTTAAACAGCCAGGAAGGACTTCCTGAGCCACCCCTCTCCAAACCACAGCATCGCTGCACCTGTGGCTTCGGGGATGGCTGTCAACCAGGAGTCCACCCAGGGAATCCCAGCCGCCCTTCCTCCATGGGAGTGGCCAGGCAGCAAGCAGAACAGGACAGCAACTCCCAGCCAGGTCCCCGAGGGCGCAGCTCACAATGCCCCAAGAAGGCACCACCTCAGGGCATCCGCCCAGCTGCGTCCAGGTGAATCCAGCGTGCTCACACCTTCTCTTCTGACATCCCTGAAGTCCTGCCACTGTAAGGACAGCAGACCAGGGCCCAGGAGCCCTGACAGCTGAGGGAAGTCACACAGACCTCCTCCCAGCGTCAGCAGTTACCACCCGGTGCCGCCTGCAGGACATCCACCAGCGCCCAGCCGTGCTGACCCACAGTCCCAGACACCTCTGACCGCACACAGGCTCCCAGGGCACAGCTGCCCCGTGGCAGAGGCCCTGGCCTGGCCCGACTCCTCCCAAGGAGTTCTGTGTGGCAGCCTCCCTGCGCCTTCCCCTCAAGTGTCCCAGCCCCCCGTGGGCCCCTGGCCTCTGGGCCTCCCAGTAGGAGACCAGAGCCTTGGACAGCAATCGGCTCCACCGAGCCCTCACCCTAGACGCTCCTGTAGTCCTGGGTCAGGCGTGCCACTCCCCCCTGCGGGGAGGCACGAGCCTGGCTCCTCCAGAGCCCTCCCACCCCCTCCCAGGCTCGCTTCTCTGTCCCTCACACATACCCACTCAGGCCTCTGATCGTGGGGAGCCCGGGGAACGTCCCCAGCAATGCCCCAGACCTGTCAGGACCTCCCTCTGCTGGTGTGGCCAGCCCGCACCTGGCACTGTGTCATCGGCATCCTTGATACATCCGCACTGCCCTGTCTTCTCCATTCCACAGGACACCTGCTAATCCCAACCCCCAGAGCCCTAACTCACAGGCAGACCCTACACGGGCCTGACCCACCAAGATCCCCATGGGTTATATAGTATGGTCAGTGCCTACTGGGCACAGGGCCTGCCCTCCCCCTGACTTGGCCCTCCCGCCTATCCTGCAGACAGCTAGGTTCCCAGCATGGGGGCAGTGTCCTGAGGGACCCGGGCTCACCTTGCAGCCTGCTGCTTGGCCGCAGCGCGCCTCCCACGCCGTCCACACACACGGAGCCATTGGCTGGGCTGCCCAGGGCATTCATGTGGGTGGGGATGGGTTCGAAGGTGGGGTCCAGCTCCAGGATGAGCCGGTTGAGCTGCTCAATGGACTGGTCGATGTCCAGGGTAGGGGAGCCCGGGGAGGGGCTGGCACCCAGCTCCTGGCTGGTTCCATTCACGACCCTGTCCCCTGTGCTTCTGCTCGGGCAGGCTTGGCTGGGCACCAGTGGCTGGGTGTCGCGCACAGGCACCCCTGCGCTGCAGGAGGTCCTCTGGACAGTTACTCTGTTGCTAGCCCCACGGGCGGGGATGACCAGGACACTGGGCAGGGCCTGCCCGAGGCCGGGGCCATCCGCAGCAGGGGCAAAGCCGTGTTGGTGGGCAGCCACCATCTGCTGCTGCCGTACCCACGTCTGCGTGGAGTAGCCTTCAGGCCCATAGGCCTGCGTCGGGGCCGCCATCGAGGGCTTCCGCAGAGACAGCTGCTGCTGCCTGGGCTCCTGGCCCCTGCACAGCCGCTCCCGCTCGCACAGGCTGTCCACCAGGCCCAGGCCCAGCTCGGGGGCCAGCGTGCAGTGCGGCTCCTCGCCCACGTGGTTGCCGAAGCTGTCAGACAGGAGTGAGTTCTGGCTGCTCTTGTGGCAGGGGAAGGGGCCCAGCAGAGCGGAGGGCGGCCCTTCCGAGGAGGACAGGGTGCCCAGGCTGTCCACGCTGTGCAGGTCGTGCTGTGGCACCTCATCGTCCAGAATGTCTGTCTCCTTCAGCGCGGGGTCGCCGTTCACATGCACCTGGGCTGGCACCACGTGCCGCGTGCCGCTGGGCGGGCCGTGTGTCTCTGCCATGTCCTTCAGCGGGTGCCCTGGGTCCTCGAGGCCGAAGCCGCTGAGCAGCTGGTCCAGCTCCGCCTTCTCCTGGGGGCTCAGGCCCCTGCTGCTGCCCGGGGCCGGCCGCTCCTCTGTCCGGTCGGTCCTGACGGAGGCCGTGGAGTGGCCTGAGTCACTGCTCAGAGATGGCGTGTGTTCGCCATGGTCTGGGCTGCCAGCGGCCGGGCCTGCCTGGGCGCCACTGGGGATGCCAGGGTCTGAGGCGCTCTTCTTCCGCACTTTGGCATACAGACTGCCATCCACGGGGCCCTGGGTGTGCAGCACTGTGGGCACAACAAACAGAGGCAGTCAGCAGGGACACAGGGAGTGCCCATTGCCACCAGGGTGTTCAGGGCCAGCCAGCGGCATGAGGGACATGGCTTCCTCCTGGGGCCAAGTCCTCCCTCCTGTCTGTCCACTGTGTCTGTGCCATTTATCTCCTGACACTCCTGGCACGCATGCATCTCTGCGTGGATTTGTATCTATTCTGTTTATACATGTATCCGTGTGTTTACATGGATGTATCTACCCTGGGGACTCCCAGGCTGCCATGGGAGGCCCACACCCATGAATTTCAGGCCAAGGGCAGGGCAAGGCGTGTCCCAGCAGAAGGCTCCACCTGCCTCCCCAGCCTCTCTTGACCTGTGAAATTGCTAGCATTCCACCCTAGTCCAGCTGCCTTCCCGCAGCAAGCAGCTTGGCTCTGCCCTGAGCGAGATCCCCACGCTGCAGATGGAGGCTCTGCTGTGGTGGGGGGCTGCAGCTCTGGAGGACACAGGGACGCCAGCCGCGTCGGGACAAGGCCCAAGAGTGGCCAGGTGCCACCTTGAGAGCCCCGGCTCCCGTCCCGTCATAGCTGCTGCAGGGGCTCCAACATGATGTGGGGTTGGGGAGATCCCACCAGGAAAGGCCAACCCCTCAGCTGACAGCCAGGCTCGAGGATGGAGGGCCCAGGGCGGAAGGCGCCAACATGCCAGCCAAGCCCTCTGCCCGCCAGGCTGGCGTGGGAGGCACAGCACACACTGTGCCAGGAGGCAACTGGTGGCGGTGTACTGAGCACACACAGGGTGCGGTGGGGCACAGCCCCTTCCCAGCCCAGCCTCACCTGGGACCCCGACAGCATCTTGCCCAAGGACAGGAATGGAGCTCCTGAACCCAGGGGGTATGGGGTCCCACACAGGTGAATGAGTCACGTGCTGTGACAAGGGAGCCACAAGTGATTTCGGCCAGGCTTCAGATCCCACAGAGCTGGAAACCTCCACTGCACCCAGCAGATTCAACACAGAGTCTCCTGGGAGGTGGCCACGGGTGACAGGGCCATGTGAGCCACAATGTGTGCGAGGGGACCAGGGCCACCATGAGGGCGGGCAGTGTAACTGAGCCACGCTGACCTCCAGGCCGCACTGACCACCAGGCCACACTGACCACCAGGCCACGCTGACCACCAGGCCGCACTGACCACCAGGCCACGCTGACCACCAGGCCACACTGACCACCAGACCACGCTGACCACCAGGTCGCACTGACCACCAGGCTGCACTGACCACCAGGCCACGCTGACCACCAGGCCACACTGACCACCAGGCCACATTGACCACCAGGCCACGCTGACTTCCAGACTGCACTGACCACCAGACCACACTGACCACCAGGCCACGCTGACCACCAGGCCACACTGACCACCAGGCCACATTGACCTCCAGGCCACGCTGACTTCCAGACTGCACTGACCACCAGGCCACGCTGACCTCCAGGCCGCACTGACCTCCAGGCCGCAGTGAAGGCAGAAGTGCCTTGGCTCCAGGTCCTGACTCCTGGACCTCCAAACCATCCCCTCCAGGCGGCCAAAGCAGGCCAGCCGAGTGTGAGTGGGGCAGGGCTGGCCTCACCCCCTCACCCCGCTGGTCCTCAGACTCAGAGCAGGAGCAGCAAAGTTCACCGGACCCAGAGCTCTGTGATCTGGGAAGACCAAAGCCACGTCTGCGGAGGTCAGCCGACACCAGGGGAGCAGGCAGCAGGAGCAGAGGGCCAGGGCAGAGGATGAGAAGGCAGCCCTGGCAAACAGCAGGTGCCCCGTCAATGGTGCTGTGCCATCTGCCTCCTGTAAGCCCAGGGATTCGTTACAGTGCCGGCCTGCTCGCCTGTGCGTGCCTGCCCCCTGGTGGGGACCCCACTGCTGTGCACCTGGACCACCTGGGCCAAGTACTTCCTGCTGCTGCTTTGCTTCCCAGACCCCAGGCAGAAGCCTGTGGCAGCAGGGAAGCCCCCACCCCACCCCACAGTCCTTCTCTCTGCTCCCCAGGTCCCTCCAGGGAACCCTTGGGCCTTGGCCCAGCTGCTAGGCATGGGGCCTGCCCAGTGTGGCTGCAGACTGGGGTGCACAGCATATTCCCTGTGGCTGAGCGGGGGGTCCTGGTTTGCCCTCACCCCTCCCTCATCTGTAGAGAACACGATGACCGGGGCCACGATGCTTCCCCACGTGATCCAGGGAACAGTTCCCAGGATTCCCAGGAGGCATGCTGTGTCCAAGAGCTGGGCAATCGCAGCATCCCAGTGGCATCTAATACCAAGCGCACACAGTGCCTACTTGCGGGCCTCGGGCTCTTGGGACCATGCGGGTGAGCCCTCCAAAGCAGAGCGGATGTTTTCTCACTAGCCTGGAGCTCCCTAAGGCATTCCCAACCACCACGGACCAACCAAAGCAACCAGCTTTCCTGCTGCACACAGGAGCTGGCTTCACAGCCGGTAAAACCTTGTCTAGTTGGCCCTTCTCTGGTTCCCAGGTATGACCAGGCCAAGGACCAGGCACAGCAGCGAGGCAGCAGGGCAGCCACTGTGCAGCCAAGACCACGCATGACAGCCTCTGGTGGGGCTGACAAGCCTAGCAGGACACAGGATGCTCACTGCAGACTGGACTGTGCAGTCCAGGGACTAAGGAGCACGGATGGTGCCCACAGACGCGGTGGCACTACGGTGAGCAGGGATGGTGCCCGCAGACACGGTGGCACTATGGTGAGCAGGGATGGTGCCCGCAGACACGGTGGCACTACGGTGAGCAGGGTGCCCAGCAAACCACAGCCTGGGGCACACCCCTGCAGTGAGAGGCCTTCTCTCCTGGACCTGCACGTTCCCAGCGCACACAGCTCTGGGCCCAGGCTGCAGGCAGTGCAGCAGCCGGTGGCTTGTCCAACGCTGGCTGGAACATGGCCCAGTGGCCACTGGACCCTCGTGCTCAGTGTGGCCTGCTGGACAGAGTACCCAAACTCACCCTGTGCACGTAGCAGAGGGCTGGGAATGACAGCCAGGAACAGGGATTGGCAGGGTTCACAAGCCAGCACAAAGGGCCAAGTGAGCAGCTGCAGTAGCTGACGCTGGCAGGGTCCCCAGGGAGCTGCAGATGATGCTGGCACACCAGGGACTGCCCGAGGGCTCGCCCACCCCAAGGCAGACTGCCCGCTCCTGGGCCGTGAGGACATTCGTAAGGAGCCCCTTCACTTTCCGGCTGAACAAGGGTTGCTTCGCTTCTGCAATGGAGGCTTGCCGCTGTGTTCCCCCCAGTTCTGCACAGTGCTGTTTCAGAGAAAATCACCAGCTAAGATGACCGCTCCTGACGGGCATCGCGGAGCTGCAGGCTCCTACGTGCTGCCATCATCCACGTGGGATACCTACAGCCAAGTCCCAGCTGTTCCGATTCCCACCCAGCTCCCTGCTGAGAGGCAACGGAGGGCAGCCCCAGTGCTCTGACCACCTGCCTGGGAGGCCCGCATGCAGTCCCAGGATCCTGGCCTTGGGCATGCCAGGCATCTGGGGAGTGAATCAGTGGCTGGAACATTCTCTTTCTGTGTTTTTCCGAGTACATGAAAACAAATAAACAAAACCATGGCTACACTGGACCTTAACTACCAAAGCAAGGACGCTGCGGCTTCACTCTGTGACAGGGTGGGACAACGTGTGGCCTCCTCCTCTTTTCAACACTGAAACCCCAAGATGGAAACACATTTCCACCTCCCTAGGGCAGCCCTGCTTCCAGCCAGGGCCCCTGCACCCTCCAGGGTCCCAAGGTGTAAACAGCCCCCAGGGTAGGTGGGGCACCAGCAGGTGGCACACGCCATACCAGGCAAGGCATGTCAGAAAGGATGCCGGACAAGCCCTCAGCAAGGCACACAGCTGGGCTCTGGGCTCAGGCCTCCAAAAGCAGCAGGCTGTGCGTTCTTGGAGCCGGGGTGGGGGCCGCCCTTCCCAACAGACACGCCCACCCGTCCGGCCACACACCACCCTGGGAGGGCAGGATTCCAGGCCCTCCCCGGGGCTCCTGGGTGAGGCTCAGGAATGTGGTGATTAAAGCCATGCTGGGCTTCCCAGCCAGTGACAGGCGGGTCGCTCGCAGCCACCGCGCTCCACGGCAATACACACACACACTCACACCCCGAGGCGGGCCAGGGCACCCTGGCGCCAGTGCTGGCCGCTTCCTGACCCACACAGCTCCAGCCCAGGCAAACAGGCAGTCCCCACACCCCACACCAGCTCACCCATGGCGACAAACTACCAGCCCCCTCTGGCTTTGGTGCGTACCAGGGCCAGCCTGGTCCAGGCTGCAGCTCAAGTGCCATTCGTACCTTACCCTCGGCCCCGTGCCTTCCAGCAGCTTCTTATGCATCCCTCCAGAGTCCCAAACAGAGAGGCTGTGGGTGTCCAGCACACATACGCTTGCACAATGCCCACCTGCTCCCCACTCACCTTCCAAGATGCCCCCCAGTCAGGCCACTCTGTCACCGTCAGCCGCAGCTGGCCAGTCAAACCCAGGGGGCTGGGAGGGCGTGCTGCCACCCTCGCCGGGCACAGGACCCTCCTCCCCACCAGCACGGAGATGAAGAGCTCTGTGCTTTTGACTCAGGGACTTTGGTTCCAACAAACAGGCTGGTGCAATGTAAACACGAGGGCGGGGCCTGCTGCAGCAGGTTTAGTGAAATTTGAACTCTGCAGGCTTCCGAGGAGGCGGGACAGGGCTCCTGGGAGAGCCCCTGACCGCTCTGGCCTTGTCCCCGGAGCCCTGGGCATGGTCGTGGGAGCTGGTACTACCCTGTGCAGTGCTGGAAACCTCCTGTGGTGCCTCCCTCTCAGGGCCATCTCTGCTTACATGCCAGGCCACGCCACACACACAGCAAACGCCGCCGACTGCCAACCATGGCTACACGCATGCCCCACACCTCCAGATCTGCAGCATTGCACTTCATGGGGGGCTCCAGAGGCCTGCCCCTCGGCATGGACTGACCAGCTCTCATGCCAGCCCGGAAGCTTCTGCTCTTCCAGCAGTCAGGCATCTCCGACCCTCAGAGCCCCCAGCTTCTGCAGAGCCTTTCATCGGCAGGGAAGACGGCACTTGGGCTGCAGGTGCAGCTGGCAGGGGTCAGTCCCATCTCCCAGCAAAGAATCTGACAGCCGATCCAAGTGGCTGAAGCCAGTGCCCCCCGGGGCATGGGACGACACCCAGGACCAGTCCCGGAGGGAGGTCAAATGCTCCCAGATAAGGGCCTCTCTGTTAGGGCTGCTGCTGTGCCAGGGTGAGGGCGCCCAAGGCTGCAGCAAAGTCCTGACTAATGACTCACACCCTGGCACTGTTCCTCCTAGGAGCCCCCTACCAGAAGGCATGGCTAGAGGAAGCCAGTAGGCTGGAAGTGGGCCAGAGCCTCTGGGGTGAGCCTGCGGCCTCATCCAGCAGCTCAGCCCAGGCACAGCCCCGGGACATGGCTGTCCACGGACAGGGCTCCAGGGAGCGGGTCTGCCCATCCTGCAGGGACAGCAGCTGAGCTGGACAACACCACTGCAGGTGCCCAACCCAGCCAGCCTCTGCTTGCACCTGCTCCGGCTGTCAGGATTCACTTCTCAGACACAGAGCGCTCTCCTATGTATCTGCTGAGGACCTGGGAAAGCAATCAAGAGACACCCAAGGGCTTCCCCATGGGAGACCAAGGGCTCACGCTGAGGCCGCTCAGGGAGTGAAAGAACGGATGAGAGAACTCCCTCCCTGCCACAGCTGTTTCTCTCTAAAACACTGTCTTAGAATGAATTCATTGAAACAAACCAAAATAAGGCGACATGCAACTTTCAAAAGCAGCACAAAAGGGCAGAGGCAAGCACCCTGAGGCTAAGGATGCTCACGGCAAGGCCGTACCTGCTGACCTAGGGGCCAGGACTAGACCCAGAAGCTGGTGAGGACAGCCCAGCCACACCTCAGACAGCAGCACAGCACGCCTGAGCAGGGGGCCCTCATGTACCAGGCGCTGCTCTGCACACACTCAGCGATGCCAACACGCGTGCAAGACGACTCCCTGGGACCAGTGCCCACCCGACCCGCGGTCCCTCGTACGGACAGAGCCCGACAACCATCTCCCCTGACCGGCCCAGAACACCCTCCCCTGTCTCCTGAGACCCACAGCGTTCCCCAGGCTCCTCCTTCAATCCGGGTCACTCGGCAGACTGAACCGAGCAATGCGACAGTGCAGGAAGCAACAGGCTTGCCAGTCTTGAACCTCTGCCTCCTGGTCCTCCAGGCTGCTGTGGGAACAGCCACAGGAGTGACAGTCCCTGCCCCACCCTGCACGTAGGGAGAGCACATCACACTCTACAAACAAATCTCGTGTGTGTGCGTGTGTGTGCGCTGCGCACGTGTCCGCACAGGCCTTGTGTCAAAGGTCTCATCTGTGCAAATGAAAACACTCCTAGTGACCCGCCCTGCCAGAGACCATGCACGGGCCTGGGCTGCCAGCCTCCAGCGGCACAACTTGATCTGCACACACACGCACCTGGGACCCAGCATGCAGGGTACAGCAGCTGTAGGAGGGGAGGGCCTGGGCCACCGCCCCAGCATGAGGTCAGCTGCAGTCACAGGCGTCACGTCCCGACAACCAATGGCAGGTGTTTGGCTGCCGCAGGTGAGACGGGAAATTTCTCCTTTTTTCTTTCCCACTCCACAACTCTGCATGTTCAAAGACACCGCCAGACACGTGAGCTGAGTTACACTCACGCAGCTGAACCAGGGGCCTCACGCTGTCCGGTGGGGGAGCAGAAGCCCCAGGGCACCCCCACACGACAAGGAGAAGCCGGGTGGGCATCAATGGGCAGAGGGGAGCCACCCTGGCACTGCCTCGTCACGGAGCTGGGAAGGAAACGGGGTCTTCACCGCCTGCTCCCTGCCGAGGGCTCTGCTCTGCTGCACAGCAGCTCACAGCGACAGGCAGGGGCTCCAGCCTGCGGGAAGCCAACAGGGCAGGGGGTTCCCAGAAGGGGCTGATGCGGACCCCCTATTCTCCCCAGGGATACACGGGTCCTCCTTGGGAAAGGCAGGCTGGGGGCAGGGCTGGGGAGGTCCAGACGTTTCTGGCCATCTAGGCATGACCAGAGACAGCAGCATTGGGAACGCTGGGGCCCCTCAAGCCTTGCTGAGCCCTGGGAATGGACACCTAGCTCACTCCAGGGAGCTTCCAGTCTCTTCTCCAAATCTGTAAGCGCCTACCCCTACCAAGTGACCACGGCACCTTCTCCACTCAGGCTGAACCCGGCAGGGGGACTGACAGGTGCCCATCACCGAGCAGCTCAGGCTGAGCTGAGGTGCTCAGAAGATGGAGACCTCGCGGCCACAGGGTGACAGTGCTGCGGTTAGATGTGACCATCAGGGCCTGGTGGCCTTGTAAGGAGGCAGGCAGACGCACCTGCTCCCCACCTCACCGAGCGTGCTCCACACAGCCCGGGAGCTCCCCTGACAACCGACACAGCCCCACATCCTGGACCAGAACCACTCATTCAGCCTGCCTTGGGCTTGCTGACGCAGCCATAGAAAGCAGAGCGGCACAATGACACGACCCACTCTCCCACCCTGAGGGCCACAGCCGGCACCCTGACCTTTAGGACACCACCGGAGTCTCCCAAGAGCGTGTCTGACACCACTTCTGACTGACGCACACCCTGGAAAGCGGCAGATGACCCGAGGACTCGGGTCTGTCACCCACGCGAGACCCAGATGGATGGAGCCCAGATGGATGGAGCCCAGGGCACCTGTCTTGGGTCTGGCTCTGGTGCTGCCATTTGGACAATGAATCAGCAGAGAGAGGTCTCCAACTGTCAGCCTACAGTATGCCAACCAAATAATCAACCAGTCAACAGAACCCAAAAAACTTCCAAGAGAGGGAGCAGACCGGGTGCAGATCCAACACACTGCAGTGGCTCTTGGTGACCCTGCTCTAATCCGACACACCGTGCCCAGGCTGCACCCCGGGGCCCCCCTGATCGCCAAGTTCTCCAAGCCCGATTCTCACGCATGCCCTCAAAAGCCATCAGTGTGTCCCACGGGGGCCTCCAGCGTGGGTGCAGTCCGCAGTGCAACGGGCCTGGCTTCCTCCTCCCCCTTCCGCTCGTAGCCACACCCACCACACCTTCTCCGTCTGTGCTCAGGTTCTCATATGAGTCCCAGCGGATCAGTGGGTCGGTCGTGTTGTAATCCACGGTCACTCCGTGGTCACTGTGCAGATGCTCAGACCCTGTGGGGACACAGGAGCACACCGGTCAGTGCCACGAGCAGCACCTCTGCCCACCGGGCCCGACGTCAGTCACAGCAGGACAGAGGGACCTTGAGTCTCCACAGCACCTCTGCCCAGTGCCCACCTTGCCAAGCTTAAAACCTCAATTACAAGCTATGTGCAAAGATGAGAGGGAGACTGTATGGGAGCCCCGGAGGTCATCCCCTGCCTGGGCCAGCGCCCACTGGGGCCCACCCCACCGGGGCCAGTGCCCACCGGGGCCCGCCCCGCCTGGACCCACCCCACCAGGGCCCACCCCGCCTGGGCTCACCACGCCTGGGCAAGCACCCACCTTGCATCTTCTCAGGTGAGGCTGAAAACACCAACTCCACCTTGCCGTAGCCAGGGAAACGGTCATCTGAGAAAAGAAGCTACATGTTAGCACCTGGGACAGTGACAGAGCCAGAGCAAGGGAGCATCTGCAGGTCCCGCCCTGCCTGGTGCCCAGTATGGACCGTGGGTCTGGGTCATTTTCCCTTGGGGGATCCCGGCGTGGGTGTCCCCAAGCCTAGCATCATCCAGGGGAGGGGCCCATGAAGCGGGCAGGGCTTCCTCACCTGTGCAGGCGCCATCCAGCTCCTCCTTTGCAAACAGAAGCCGGTAACCCTGCACGGCCCCCGTGTGGAACTGCAGGCGGAAGATGGTGTCGCGGGTGGCCGTGTGGTGCTTCTTGTGGTAGCATTTCACCTGGGGAGAGGCATGGGCACAAGAGCTGAGCCATTGCCAGGGGGACAGGACACAGGCCTGAGGAGGAGACGCTGCAGCCTTGGCAGCTGTGCTGCTTAGATAAAACCTACAGGAGCCCACCGCTGGAGGTCACAGTTAGGACTGTTATCCAGCTGGGTCTCAGCCATCAAAGCCCAAGACACCAGAGAGGATGAGACTGCTGTCCAACTGTGCCAGAAACCAGGAGAAGCCGAGGAGATGGCCCAGTTCCCAAGCTAGGCTTCCTCCTGGGGGGCGGGAGGGGCGGGGAGGGCGCTGCATCACCACTTATGACACAGGCGTCCCACACAGGCACAGTCTGAGTCCCAGCTACTCCGCTTCGGGTCCAACTCCCTGCCACTGCGCCGGGAACCAGCAGAGGATAGCTCAAACGCTTTGGCTAGCATCCATGTGGGAGACCAGATGGCATTTCTGTCTCCTGGCTTTGGCCTGGCAGAGACCTGGCTGTTTTAAGACACTTGGGGAGTGAACCAGCAGAAGGAAGATCTCTCTCCCTCTCTGATGCTCTGCCTCTCAAAAAAGAAAAACACCTTTAAAAAGTCAAATTTGCGTGCAGGTGCTTGGTGCTAATGCCTCAGCTCTTGTTGTCACCCAGCTCTGTGTCCCACGCGAGGACGAGCGAGCCACGTGCAGCCTGTGCAGCCAGCCTCCTTTATCCGACAGTGAAGCGCCGCCCGGGCTGCAATCCCAGGACAAAGCACTGAGGATTTCTGAGTAACTAATGTGCGTTTATTTGAAACCCAGAGTTACAGGGAATTGGGAGACACAGCTCCTCCATCTGCAGGCTCACTCCCCATAAGGCTGCAACAATCAGTGCTGGGCCAGGTCGGAGCCAGGAGCCAGCAGCCAGGAGCCAGGAGCCAGGAGCTTCTCCCCAGCTGGGGGCAGGAGCCCAAGTACTTGGGCTGCCCTCTGCTGCTTTCCCAGACCACTAGCACGAAGCTGGATTAAAAGCCGAACAGCCGAGACTCCAAGCAGTGCCCACATGGAGTGTCGGCACTGCAGCTGGCCACAGTGCCTACCAGCAGCCTGCACCTGTCGCTTAGAGGCAGCGAGGGTCTATGGAGAAGGTGTGGCACAGGGAGAGCAGGGACCCCAGTAGCAGGGTCTGCAAGCGCCAGCACACCCTTGCAGAGTGATGAAGCAATTCAGAGACCTTGGCCCAGACGTCCCAACAGTCGCAGGAAAGTGTACTCTCAGCTGAACTCCAGTTGGAGGTGACTGGGCTCCAGGCCCACTGTGACTCCTGCTGCCCCTTAAGCACCCACCAGGCAGGCCTACGGGATTCTCATGCCAAGAGGACACTCAGGGGTCTGTGTTTAAAGTCCGGAATCTGCTCACAGGCCAAAGACTCAGCAAGAGGATAAGCAGGCTAGACCCCGGGAGGCTCAGCTGAGGTGGGCCCCCGAAGCACCTGCCCTTGTGCCCTCGTCCCCTGCACCAGGCATCATGGGGGGTAGAGCAGGCAGCCCTACTTCACCTCCAACCTTCACTGAGTTACCTAAGCCCAGAAAGTGGTCCTAGAGTATCCTACACCTGAGACATGACACCCGTTAACACCTGTCTCACGAGGCCGCCGTGACCCCACCCTTGGAAGGAACTAGAATCACTCATGTGAAGGTGGCAGAACTGTTGGGCTCATGGCCGAAGTGCTCCCTCCCATGGGGCCAGCAACAGCCGTGGCCTCCCCAGGGCTGACCGTGATGTCCAATGGTCCCATACTCAAATTCCTGACCTAAAAGTGGGCAGACTGGCTGAGCATTCAAGAAGACCTGACTCAGTTGTGCAAGGCCTGGAGGACTCATGAGAGTGGCAGCAGGCAACAGAATGACCAGCAGGGTCAGGGCAGTGGCAGAGTGCCTCCCTGGGGGGCACTTTCATCTTACACTTCATCAAGGAGGGTGCCATCTGGGCCTGGGGGAGGGAGCGAGGTCACACAGCAGCCACCACTAAGAGGACTGACGGCTGTGGGTTTGCCCAGGCAGGGCAGTAGAACAAAGTGAGCCAGGCAGAAAAGCTTGTCCCGCTCCTCAGACAGAATGACTTCAAAGCCAGGCAGGTAACAGGCAACCAGGTCGCAGCTGGTCTCTATGAGCCACAGGCCCCAGTGGCTCCAGTCTCCGCAATGACTACACACACATGTTGGGCTCTGGCTACTGACGGCCAATATTCACACACACATATGCATGTGTAACTCCACCCGTGCCCTTGGAGGCTCCCGGTCACGCTGACACTGTGAACTACAAACTGGTCAGGGAGCCAGTGTGGTGGTGAAAGGAAATGAACCCATAGGGCAGGGCAGGGTGGGTCCCTCCAACGCCCTCAAGGCTGCTTTGCACTCTTCCTACGGTGTTTCAGGCATGGGGAATCCCATTTCTGCTGGTCCCGACTCCCAGGCACACGGAGGCCGCAGCCGCGGGGCACTCACCATGATGTCCCCCTTGAGCAGCTGCGCCGGCTCCACCAGGAGGCAGATCCTGCCGGGGCTTTCTGGGCCCACGTTGCTTTGAGATACACAAGAAAAGTCAGCATCAGGCCTCATTGCAAACACATGCTGTGCCAGTTATGTCTCCCCTGGGGCTTGCACAGGCAGAGACCCCTGCAAAGGGGGTGGGGTGCGAGGTCCAAGGCAAACCCCACACAACCCAATGTCCAACGGGCCACTTGCATGGAGACAATGTCAGCCTTCCTCGGTCCCCAACAGCACGTGTGCCCATCCACACAGAAAGGCAAACAACCAAAGCCCAGGGACCCTCCACCTGCTGGGGGCATGGGTCTCCATCTGTCTGCAACAGGAGCAGACCGTGTCTGCCCTAGCAGTTCAGCAGCCAGTCAGGATGCTCCAGTTCCCGACCCGCTTCCTGCCCACAGACTGAGTAACCGTGCTGATGGCCCCCGTGATTCGGTCCCTGCCACCGTGGGGGAGATCTGGATGAATCCTGTGGCTCCCAGCTTTGTCCAGCCCCAGCCACTACAGGCAGCGAGTGGGCTATGGGGAACCGACACTTACTAGATGGCTGAGGTATACACGGGCTGCATGGCCTGGTAGAGCTTCACAAAGGGCCGGCAGGCTGCAAGACAGGACAGGCGAGGGAAACACGTGGTCAGAGAAGGCACAGGGATTGGGCGGGCAAGGTCAGAGACCAGTGGAGCCCACAGCCTGCCCATGGCCCAGGGGTCTGCCCTGCCCCAGTGGGAGCCACAGGCCCTCCTGCAGGCCGGCTGCCCCTGAGTCACACAGCAGCAGCCCAGTGGTCACACTGGCATGAACACAGGACCCCAAGGCAGTGTTGTGCTCAGCCCTGTTCACCAGGGTCACGGCCCCGAGCACAGGCAGAACAGGGGGACACAGCCCTCTGCTGCCACTCCCGAACGCAGGGCTGACACACAGGGCTGAGAGCCAGGATGGATCGGGACCCCAGCTGCCCTCTGAGGCTGACATGCTCTGTGCACCCCTGAGCCCCACCACACCTAGGGGGCCAAGGGACAGCTTCTGGTTACCACCAGAGAAAACACAGCTTGTTGAAACTGAGGGACTAGACAGAGCCCTGGGGACACTCACCTCCCCCGGCATCGAAGCTGGGGGTGCCATGCAGGACCACGCAGTGCAGGAAGACAGGCGAGGTGTTCATCTTCACAGCGCCCGACAGGAGTCCGCTGAGGAACTGCACGTACCTGCAAGGACAGCCACCGCTGTCTGAGACCCCCGGCTCCCCGGGCCGCAGCAGGGCCTGCCTCCTGAGACCCCCGGCTCCCCGGGCCGCAGCAAGGCCTGTCTCCTGAGACCACCCCCGGCCCGGAGCAGGGCCTGCCTCCTGAGACCCCCGGCCCCCCGGGCCACAGCAGGACCTGCCTCCTGAGACCCCCGGCCCCCTGGGCCACAGCAGGACCTGTCTCCTGAGACCCCCGGCTCCCCGGCCCGCAGCAGGGTCTGCCTCCTGGCTCCCTCTCCGCCCCAGCTTCCTGCCGACACAGAGAGGAAGCAGCAGGTGTCCGTCCGAGTCCCTGCCACTCGGGGACCTGGATGGAGCCCCGGCCTCCAGGCCCAGGCCTGCCACCTGTAGACACCTGGGAGTGAACCGGCACATGGGAGACCCATCCTGCTCCGTTACCCTGTCCAACAAAGCACTGAAAACCAGAACAAAGCAGGCTGTCTGGCCTCCTGGTCTTGCAATGTTCTCTCTTTTGCAGCTGCCCCTAACACCACACAGCTTGCCCTGAACTCAGCAGGGCAGCGTGTGAGCTGAGGAGTGGACCCAGCCTCGACATGGATGCAAGCTCTGCCCACAGCCTCACCTTCCTGCACACCTGGCCCCGTCCCTCCTTGGCACCTGCTGTGCCACACAGCTTCTGCAGCAGCAACACATCTCACACACATGCCATATGCCTCCCGGTCTCAGCCAAAGTGCTGAGGCCTTTTTCATAAGGAGAGGAATTAAGCAAACGAACCCCAGGCCTGGGCCACCTCAGCACATCTCTGACCCCCAGGCCAGAAGCCACCAGGAGGCAGTGAGTATGGCCAGCACAGGGCCTCCCACTCCAGCCGTCCCACGGCCGGACGCCTGCACACACAGCGCCAGATCCCTCATCATGGCAGCAGCTCGGAGCAGTACGTGGTTTCAGCGGCTCACATTATGCAAAAGCAAACTGAGTAAAAGGAACTTTCGGGGACTCTCCCTGATCTGCAGGACATGCTCTGGGACAGGTCTCGGCCAGGGACCCCTCCCGTGCCCCCTCTGCTGTTCACCCTGGCCCCGGGGAAGGTACATACCGCTTCTGAGAGGGTTGCATGAGGGCTGCGACTTTGTCATCATAAAACTTCTTCATGGCAAACCTGTCGAGGGCCTGGTCAGCACTAGGGGACAGAGAGAGAAAGAATGTGTGTCAGCCTGGCGGGATGCGGCCCGTGGCTCTGTGTCCAGACGTTGCCAGCGGCCATTGAGTGACATACCCACTGCACCTGCGCTGCCAGGTCTTACGCTCCGTCCCCCTGCAGGCACCATTTGGGCCACTGTACTAGCCTCCCCTGCAGGTCAGAGCTTGCAGAGCCGCAGGTACCACATCCACGTAAAGCAGGACACACAGTCATGCTTGGTTCTCAGAGAACAGCTGGCTCCGTGAGGCTCCAGCAGGCAGGGAGCTGTGGTTGTTGGTGCCCAAACTCTGGCAAGGGCAGCTGTGCTTCCGGCCGGTGAGGCGGAGGCATGCCCAACCCAAGGACACTCTGGTGACACACACAGCCACGCCGACAATCAGTCCCGATTCTTTCTCTATCAATTCCTGCATGTTTGGAGTGGCTGCAGCGTCCTCCTCTTCCCATACGGCCTCACGCTGCAGTTGGTGACAAAGGCCACTCAGTGGCTACTTATTGGGGACACAAGTGTGTGCACTTTGAGGCCAGCTTAAAAGTGGGGGATTCACTGGAGGCAACCAGCAAAAAGCTGCCAGAGACCCAGACAAGTGACATCCACGTGTGCTGGATTCGCAGCATCTTGCCTGCAGGTGGCCGCCGAGAAGCCACCGGGAGCCACCTAGGACATGGCACAGACTGGGGAGGGACGGGCCCCTCCTGAGAGACAGTGGCCAGGGTGCTGACCACACAGATGGCAGGGTGGCAGGTGAGTGTGTGAAGCCCCTGCTCCTTGTGCACTCCTGGAACACAGGGCAGAGCCAGCCAGGAGACACGAGGCCTGGCCATCCCCTTGGCTGCTCACGGGGACCAGGGCAGCCGAGCACCACGTCAGGCACGTACAGGCTGGTTCTCAGAGCCTGGGTTTCCTCCCTGGCCGGCACAGCTCCCCAGTTTGTTTCCAGAGAAAACACAGGCGGGGGGCAGAGCCCACTCCATGGGCACGGGAGGTGGGGCACCTCGGCCACTGTGAATGGGCCTCTCTCTGCTCCGGCCAGGGAGGCGCCGGCCTCACAAAGCACCCATTGAGGGCATGGGGTGGGTGCCAACAGCAAGCCCACAGAGCATGCCATTCTCTGAGCTGGTTTCCAGAGCAGGGGCTCTATGCTCGGGAAAGAATAGGGTGTCTAACACCAGGGGGCTGCCATGGCCTTCGGGGGCTGGGCCGGTGGGATCCGGCTGAGGGGGTCCCTGCCATGGCCTTTGGGGGCTGGGCCGGTGGGATCCGGCTGAGGGGGTCCCTGGGGCCTCTGAAGTCTCCAGCATTTCTTTCTGAGCTGGTCCCAGCCAGGAGACTGCAGGCAAGTTGCCCAGCCTCTCTGGGCTCAGTTCCCAAAGCAGGGTGGCAGACAGGGCTCTGGGAGAAGGAAGACCCCACACGTGGGTCCCAGGGGCTCTGTGGGTGCAGGATGGCTTGGTTTGGCTCCTGACAACACTGACAGCCACCACTCCACCAACGAGCTCCGCTCTCCACCTCCGTGGGGCCCACACCCATCATGCGCAGCCAGCCCACCAGGAAGAGGGCATGGAAATCGGCACCTATGCACAGTACGCAGAGCCCCAGGGACAAGGACATGGGCCAGCTGAGGCCTTGGCATCCAGGAAGGCTCCTGGGTGGACCCGGCAGCCCCTCCCCGTCCTACCTGGCTGAGACGTGGGTGAAGTGCATGTAGGACGAGATGACCACTCCTATACGGCCTCTGCCACCCTGCGGGAGACAGAAGAACTCAGGGTCCCTGGAACCTCAGGAGGGAGGTGCTGTCACAGCCAGGGCCGCAGGGGCACACTCCACTGTGCAGGTCACACCTTTGTCACCCCATATTCCAGAGCTGCTGTGGAGGAACCAGAGTGATCTTGGCACCCTCAGCTGCCCACACGGATAACCTATGGGAGCCCCTGGGGCAGACACACGCAAGGCAGCCAGCATCTCACACCTGCCGATCAGGCCAGAACACGGGGCTGAGCACTGGAGCCATGAGCGTGACCCAATGACTGAGACAGGCATGAAGGGCCTTTCCAGGCAGGGCATGGCCTTGTCTCCCCCGCCCCCAGGTCTCCCCAGCACACAGCAGGAGGCCCAAGTCCCAGGCAGTTCCACTGGAAAAGGAATCACTCTAAACCACAGCTATGCACAACCCCATCTCCGACCGACAGCACCACCCACAGGGCAGCGGCAGCTTCGCAGCAGGCCACCCTGGCCAGAGCCACAGACAATGGCCTTCTGGAACATTCTGTCCCGGTCCATAGCAGTGGTGTACTGCCCTCTACCTGGGAACCAAAGGTGGCTTATACATTTTTACTTTTTTTAAAGATATTTTAAAAAGAGATACATACATAGAGGACGATCTTCTGTCTGATGTTTCATTCCCCGAGTGACCGAAACAGCCAGAGCTGAGCCAATCCAAAGCCAGGAGCTAGGAGCCTCTTTCGGGTATCCCACGAGGGAACAGGGTCCCAAGGCTTTGGTCCATCCTTGACTGCTTCCCAAGCTACAAGCAGGGAGCTGGATGGGAAGCAGGGCTGCCGAGATTAGAACCGGTACCCATATGGGATCCTGGAGCATGCAAGGCGAGGACTAGGCCGCCATGCTGGGCCTGGCTTCCACATTTTTAAAGCAACAAAGAGAAACCATGAAAGAGCCAGATCTATGGCCTAAGAAAAGTTTTATGAAGCCCATGTGTCTGTGGCCACCTGCTAAGTCTGGCCAGGACACCATCACACACAGTCGGCACCTCTGCCAAGTCTGGCCAAGGTACCGTCATGCACACTGCCATTGGCCCTGCCTGCCGACACCAGCCTCAACCACAGCCCAGTTAGGGAACAGAAAGCAGCCACCTAGAGTTCTGCGGGGAGAAGCAGATCACACTCCAGGGACAGGAGGGACCATCAGCCCCAACCACATTCAGCAACGGATGGGTTACCCACAAAACCTGCACACAGACCTTGGACTCAAGCTCCGTGGGATGCCAGGGGACCCCCCACACACAGAGCACACTCTGACCTCATGGAGGCTGCAGAATGAGTCTCTACAGGTCCAGGACAGCAGGTGCCACCTGCCTGCTCCAGCCACAGTGCCATGAGACCATCGGTAACAGCAGGGGCCCAGAAACCCACAGAGCTGCAAATCCAGCAACACGCTTCTCAGCACAGTGAAACCCAAAAACCCCATTGAGGTGTAGCAAGCTCACCCTCCACCTGCAGCACTGGCATCCCACACGGGCACCAGCTGGAGTCCTGGCCACTCCAGTGCAGATCCAGTCCCCTCCTAGTGCCCTAGCAAGGCAGCGGGCGGTGGTCTAGGTCTCTGGGCCCCTGCACCCATGTGGGAGGTCCAGATGAAACTCCTGGCTGCTGGCTTCAGATGAACACAGCTCTGGCCACTGAGGCCATTTGGAGGATGAACAGTGGGTAGAAGACTTCTGTGTGTGTTTCAAATAAGAAATAAATAAAATCTTTAAAACATTTTTTAAGCACTTGAGAAAAACTAAAATGGAAGCACAACATACCAAAATGTTAAGAATGCAGCAAAAGCAGTTCTGAGAGCGGAGTTTCTAGCAACACTTGCCTACATCAATACACAGGGATCTAAAAAACCACATGACACACCTGGGGAGACCAGAACAACGGAATAACCTGGGACCAAGGCCCGCTGAAGGGAACATCAGAGCAGAAAATGTCACCAAGATTAAGATGTGCTTCACGAAAAGCCCGAACAAGGGGTAGACATTTAGCCTGGCAGTTGCGAAGCCAAGAGCCCATGTCTCAAACCAGCTCAGCTCCTGACACCAGCTCCCTGCTAAAGCACAGCCAGAGGCAGCACGTCACAGCTTCACCCACAAGGGGGACCCAGGGCTGAGCTCACAGCTCCCTGCTCTGGCCTGGCCTGAGCTGCTGTGGACACCTGACGGAGACCTCTGCTTCTCCACCTATAGCACACAGTAATAATAATAATTTAAAAAGTTTAAAGATGAACAAAATCAGCAAACTTAGCCGAACTTTAGCTGAATCAGCAAAGCCTAAAGCAGAGAGGACTCAAACCAAGTCAGAGGTGAAAGGCAGAGGATGAGGCACGCCGCTAACACGCGGAGGACCCAGGAGGACCGTCATGGACAGGTGCACAACAACCGGCCTGAGGAGCAGAAAGCAGCGGGCAACACCCTAGGCTCAATGACCTGCACACAGCCCGCCAGCCTGTGAGAGGACGCAGGTGTAGCCAAGGCTGAAGATACGACAAGCTCAGCCTAGATACTCGGGGCTAGCATGGTGCTAAACGCTGAAGTCTCTTACAAGAGCCAGACTCCAGGGAGCAGAGGACCCCACAGGCTGCAGACATAGGATCCTGGCAGGGCAGTGTGGCTGGCATGGCCCTGGGTGTCCACACATGCAGGAGCTGGCCCTGTCCCAATTGGACCTGATGGGCAGGACTGGCATTGAGCTCACAGACTTCCCACAGCAGGACTCGAAGCTTCTGAGGTGTAGGAGAGCTCAGAGCAAGCAAGGCTCTGGGGAACACCAGCCATGGAGCTGCCGATGCCCTCACAGGGACTCCGCAACTAGGGCTGTCTTGTGCACCCAACCCCTAAAGGATTCTAGTCCACTGCTGCTCTGTCCAGAAGTGTAGGACTGCGGGGGACATGGCAGCCCCGAGCCCGCCCTGCTCCTGTTCCTGCCCGGATCTGGGGGCAGCTCCTGGCACGTGGGCGAGAGGCACATCCTGCTGAGCAGGCAGGTTTAGGTCAATGTCAGCAGTTTCCACCCCCACAGTGACAGCGATGATGAACTTGTGTTATTGTCCACATGAACAGCCTCAGACTATAGGGGGCTTATCGCCCCGGGCACGTATTTAAGTGTCTCAGAGTGGTTTCCGGCACACACCATGAGCAGATCACGGTGGAAAAGCTTCAGTGTGCTCCCAACAAAACAGACGGCCCAGGGTGAACAGGGACACACAATCTCACAAACCAGCCAGGGCAGCCAGCCGAAGGAGGCGGGGCCGCAGAGCTCTGAGCTGCAGCAGGCAGCAGCTGGACCAGGGGCTGTCCAGCCTGCAGTTCAGAATGGACAGCAGCAGGACTGAGCCCAGCACCACGGCTCCTACTAGCTGACATGAAGGTACCAGTGCAGGCAGGGGCTCCTGACCCTCATGTCACACGAGAAGCAGCTGCTGTGGATGGAGAAGCAGGGAGACACCAGCAGGGATATGGGGGGATGTGACCAAGCTGGATTTGGGAAAACTGATGTGATCAGAGAAGCAAGTAACGACTGGAGTGCCCCAGGCGTGTCTGTGTGAGTCCCAGGAGGCTGCGGCAGGGTGGGGTGCGGGGCCCTAAGCTGGCTGCACCCCGCTGCACCCCGAGGGAGCAGCTCTGCACATCTAAGAGGCCAGGGAAAGCATTCCACATTTCCCAGACACCGTGGTGGGCCTGGGGAGGCAGGGCAAGTACACAGCATGCAGAACAGGGCGACCACCTACAGTGACAGCGACCCCACTCCTCGGGCAGCTGCCCACGCCTAGGATCCCATCCTATCGAAGTGTCTGGCAAGACAGCTTTCCTCTTCCAAGTGATGTGCCTTGTGGGATGAGTAAACCCACGATCTCTCTCTCTCTCCAGTCCCAATCTAAGGAATGCAAGGCAGCACAGGAAGAGGCTACAAGCAACTCCCTGGTACCTGGGAAACCAGAATTCAGAGGGATGAATGCCAGGCAGCTGGAGGAAGACGCTGCCGGCACCTGCTGAGGCTGCCAGGCACCGAGCCCTCGGCCAGCACCAGCCATCTGGCAGCAAGCTTGGCCCAGGCTCTGCAAGAGCATCAACCCCCCCGGACAGCACACCCAGCACCCACGGGCCACTGCAGCTCCAAGGACAGACGTCCAGCGCACCAGCCCAGCATCCCTCTCTGAACAAGTGCTTCTCTGAGAAAATCACATCTGCATAAAAATGAAAGGACTGCCCTCATCCTACCCTCAGTCCTCACTGCCAAGGCCAAGCTCAGCAGGCTGTGGGACTGACTCCCTCCATCCACTGCTCTCAGGCTTTCAGCCCCACAAAGCCACACAGAGCATGCCACACATGGGAACACGGCTCGTCGGCCACCCCACGTGACCCCTCTCAGACCACCGACACCCTGGCAGGCCCCCAGCGTGCAGAGGGCAGAACTCACCCTGCAGTGGATGACCACCACGTGCTGGGGGTCGCTGTTGAGCCAGGACTCCTGGGCCTTGCATATGGTGCACATCTTGTCCAGGGGCGGTGCGTGCAGCTCCGGCCAGCCCACGTCCATGATCTGCAACGAGAGGGGGCGCTTCCTGGAATGGCTGCGGTGGCCAGGCTGCTGTCCCGTGTCCACTTGTGACATCCCTGAGCCCAGGGTCTGGGCGGACTTTCTGGGGCAAGAAGGGTGCAGGACTGTGTGGGGCCAGGTTGGACAGCTTTGCCACAGGCATGTTCAGTGCCATGCCCCAGGAGCCATGTGCACAAATAAAGAGCCCCCAAGAACCCTGTGATGGGCACAGGACGTCTGCACATAAGAACCAGAGCTCGAGGTGCCTCACATTCACCCCAATCCTAAAGTCACAGTGGCCACGCGGTGTCATCTCCCCACGCACCTCCTTCTTGTTAAGGGTGGACGGAGGCAGAGCTCTGTTTCGGTAGGAACAGGGAGAGAAGTGGTGTAGAATGGCTGGGAAATTCAGGAGACCGCCCGAAAGCAGTCCCACTGCCCAGCGCCCAGCGCCCAGCACTGGCCTCTGTCCAAGGGCATCCAGTGGAGCCGCCATCACCGCACACACTCCATCCTCTGGCAAAACACGGGCAGCTAGCGGCACAACCACAGGCCACATGTCCCAGTGGGAAACGCCTGGGAGTGGCAGTGTTCCAGACGTGGCAGGAGTCTGACATCAACATGACCAGCTGAGCACCCCTGATCTGAAACGCTCCCAACCTGGGGCATTTTGGTATACAGAGTTCTGCACTGTGGAGCACTTGGGATCTGGAGTTATGAGGTTAAGGATGCGTGGCTTCTATTTCTTTATTCTAAAGGCTGTGAAACAGAAGTCATACAGGCCAGCACTGGTTGGGGGTGGGGGACCATGAAGAGGTGACAGGAGAGAGGTCCCTGTGATGGGAAGGCTGTGTCCAGGAGTGGTGGCGGCACCAATCCACACGTGTGATGAAGTGACAGACACACGTGTCAGTGCTGGTTAGACCAACCAATCCACACGTGTGATGAAGTGACAGACACACGTGTCAGTGTTGGTTAGACCAACCAACCAACACATGTGATAAAGTGACAGACACGTGTCAGTGCTGGTTAGACCAACCAATCCACACGTGTGATGAAGTGACAGACACACGTGTCAGTGCTGGTTAGACCAACCAACCAACACATGTGATAAAGTGACAGACACGTGTCAGTGCTGGTTAGACCAACCAATCCACACGTGTGATGAAGTGACAGACACACGTGTCAGTGCTGGTTAGACCAACCAACCAACACATGTGATAAAGTGACAGACACACGTGTCAGTGCTGGTTAGACCAACCAATCCACACGTGTGATGAAGTGACAGACACACGTGTCAGTGCTGGTTAGACCAATCAACCAACACATGTGATAAAGTGACAGACACACGTGTCAGTGCTGGTTAGACCAACCAACCAACACATGTGATAAAGTGACAGACACGTGTCAGTGCTGGTTAGACCACCCAACCAACACATGTGATAAAGTGACAGACACACGTGTCAGTGCTGGTTAGACCACCCAACCAACACATGTGATAAAGTGACAGACACACATGTCAGTGCTGGTTAGACCACCCAACCAACACATGTGATAAAGTGACAGACACGTGTCAGTGCTGGTTAGACCACCCAACTAACACGTGTGATGAAGTGACAGAGACACGTGTCAGTGGCAGTTATACCAATCCACACTCGTGATGAAGTGACAGACACACACATGATGAAGTGGGTGGTGTCCATGATGGTTATACCAACTGAGGCATAGGAGGAAGCAGTGGAACAGACCCCCACACTTGCAGCACGTGCGATCCATTGACTTGGGAATGAGGTCGGCAGGGTACAGCGGTGCTGGGCTCCTGGCTCGGGTATTTCACTGCAGCCTGAGTGTTCCAGATCCAAAAATCTCAGGACCACATGTGCTTGGGATGTCAAACATTTTCAGATTTTAGAATATGTGTACACATCCCACAAGCCACAGTTCACGTAGTTGACTTGTGTGGCATGCACATCTCACACACACAGCCTGAAAGCAATGGGAACAGTACTACTTATAATTTTATGAATGAAATAGTTCCATTCAAATAAATGTGGAATGTTCAAAAAAATCTCACGTGTTGGGGCCGGCCCTGTGGCACAGCAGCTTAAGCCACCACAAGCAGCAGCAACACCCCGTATGGGTCCTGGTTTGGGGCCCAGCTGCTCTACTTCCAGCCTAGACATAGGCTTAGGAAAAGCAGAAGACAACCCAAGCGTTTAGCTCCCTGCCATTCACATGGGAGACCCCCGGAAGAAGCTCCTGGCTCCTGGCTTCAATCTGGCCCAGTGCTGGCCATCAGGGTTGTCTTGAGAGTGAGCCAGCAGGAGCAAGAGTCTCTCGCTCTTCTCTCGCTTTGTGTAACTGACTTTGGAACCATCTGAAACTCTGGATTTGTACAATTAGGGAGGCTCAACTTGTCTTAATGTTGCAAAAGACTGCCATGGGGGACAGGAGGAGGGTGCCTGGGACACCCGTGCTTCATGGTTTTTCTATGAAGCTAGAATTACTTCAAACTACCTTTCGATTAAAAACAAACGAACAAAACCAGACAGGGACAGCTCCCAACATCGCTGATCCAGCCCCACTCCAGCACGACCTGGAGCAGAACTCACACACTTTTCACAGAACTCAGAGCATGCAGGGATCAAGTGCATACCTTGGGGTTCAGCTTCGTGAGGTCGTACCTTCTCTCTGAAAGGTTAATCACCTGTGGGAGTGGAGGCAGACGGCTGTTAGACCTCATGTTGACCCAGAGATGGAAGGAAACAGGGTCTCATTGGCACCGTTTGCCTCCACAGGATTACAGCTAGGGTGGCACCAACTCGACATAATCCCACATGCCACTTCATTAACTGACACGCTTACACAGGCAAGACACCTGCAGACACGTGGACGTGGGCCAGCGCTGTGATGTGGCAGCTTGAGCCGCCATTTGAAATGCCAGCGTAGGTCACTAGAGTGCTGCTTTCAGTCCTGGCTGCTCCACTTCCAATCTCGCTTCGCCCTAGCGCAGCTGGGAAGGCAGCAACGATGGCCCAAGTGTCTGGGACCCTGCACCCATGTGGGAGGCCAGGATGGCGTTCTGGCTCCGGGACCCGAGCTTCAGGCTGGCCCGGCCTTGCCTGCTGCAAACATTTGCAGTGTGAGCCAGCCAGCGTAAGCTACCTTCCTCCCCCTCCATCTTTCAATAAAATACTTCAAAAAGTCTGAGGGAGATAGATGTAAAACCCAAATGTATGCTGCTTTGAAAACTTTGAAAGCCACACAGGACTTAAACAATCAGGGCTGACACACCAGGGCATGCCAAATCTCTTCCGGGTTTCCAGAGGGCCTGTCCCCACACCAGCAAGGGACCCTTGCCCTAAGCATCCTCGCACGGGGCATGGGGCTCTAACAAGGTCTACCCGGTGTCAGGGGTGCCCTCCCAGTTCCCAGGCCCTCAGGGTGGTCTCTGGGGCAGGCAGCTGGCCATGGTGTCTGTGCTTGACCAGGCCTTGCCAAGGAAGGAGCTCCTAGAGGAGGGAGCCCCCACGAGCCCCACGGGGTGGGGTGGGGCAGCGGGCACCTTAGGCAGGGGTGGGGAGGGGCCAAGTCAAGGGAGCTCCCTCGCCCAGTTGTGGGAAAAGCTGATAAGGGTGACAATGGCCTCCTTGTTGGCTCAGGCCTGCGGAAAAGGCGGAGTGAGGGAGGAAAAGGTGCCAGCGGGGTGCTAGAGGAGACACCCAGCTAGCACCTGGGGACAGAAATGACAACCCACAGAGGGCATGAGAGACTAACTCCTGCTCTCCCAAACATGGACACCTGGCCAGGGTCAAGCGTGTCTTGCACACCCAGCCACCCGCCCGCCTGCGGCAGCACTCACTCTTCGGGCCACCGCACCCCTTGGTCTTGCCGACTCACTGTTTGCTTGGGAGCAGGGTCAAGTTTACTCTCTGATAGCAGGGCTGCTACAGGAGACCAGCAGGGGTGGCGGCAGGGGGCAGGGCCTTGGGCCCACCCCACACTGGGCACTCAGGCCCAGCTCCTGCATGACCACAGACCTGCAGGGGCTCACAGGGCTGCTACAGGAGACCAGCAGGGGTGGCGGCAGGGGGCAGGGCTCTGGGCCCACTCCACACTGGGCACTGAGGCCCAGCTCCTGCACGGCCACAGGGCTCACCAGGTAGTTGTCACCGTGCTTGGACTTGAGCATGCGCGTGACCTCCTGCAGGTGGCGCAGGTAGGACTCCTCGCAGCCGCCAGCGGGGAAGGACACGGCGATGATGCGCTCCGTGATGTAGGTGAGGTCTAGCCCGTGCCCGTCCTCCATGGCGGGGCCGGGGGCTGCAGGCCTGCGGGAGAAGGGCCAGTCGGTCAACTCACAGGGCGGGATGGTGGAAACAGGCAGGGCTAGCCGCTCACCCCATGGCCTGGCACCCCACAGGGCACAGGACCCGCCTGCTCCTCAGGTCACCAGCAGGCCATGGGTACAAGGGGCCAGCGGGAGGCAGCAGCGACACTGGGCTCAGACATGGGGCCCCAGCCTCTGTGGCTGCAGGGGGCACGGGGGTTCAAAGGTTGGGCTCCCTGGATGGCGAAGGGGGCATCACCCCTGTGCCAGGCATCATGATGAGCACAAGACACAGCCAACAGAAGCCACAGCTGCCAGTCAACAGCACGCAGCTGCTCCCCAGTGTGTGCGACCTCCCAAAGGAGGTGGAGGGAGGGAGGAAGGGGAAGGAGACGGACATGGGGAACCCTGGGATCCCAGGAGGGCAGGGGACGAGGCAGGGGGCCTCCACACCCTGGGAGGAGGGGGTCTCCACATTTCAGAGCTCGGCAGCCTCTGCTGGGCCTTGCTTTCTGTTGCTTTTAAAGCAACAGTAATGCGGCTTCTATAGCCACCACAGTGCTCCAAGGGGAACCCTGCAGGATTTGGGGTATAGCTGTCCAGCCACCAGCGGTGGCTCCAGCTCCCCTCTGCTGATGTCCACTGGAACTTCTCCTAGGCCACCTACGTGGTCAGGTTCAGCGACAGCTCAGAAAAGGACCGTGAAAACCACCTGTGTGTCACTTCTAGGGAGTCAGTATTTAAGTCAGAAAAGGAGACAGGGAACACTCACCACGATGGCCGGTCACTGGAGAGAGGGGCGGGCGGTGGGGCACTCCCTGGGGCCTGGAATGACAGCACACACAGGTCACACAGAGGTCCCCCTCACAGAGCTGGGGTGAGTGGCTGGGGACAAAGGAGGCTGCAGAAGTGCTAGGCTGCAGCAGACATGCACTCCACAGTTGGTCTATACCACATGGGCACAGACCTCTCGTTGTCAGTGCCCCTTACATGGCACGGATGGCACAGCAGCCATCCATACAGCAATCCATGGCATTAGGGGCTGCAAGTCATCCAGGGAGCATCCAACCACGGGCAGCAGGCACTACCACGGCATCCCACGGAAGAGCCCAGAGCATGTGTGGCTTAGTGTCTGTGGACGCCCTGGGACTGGCTTCCTATGGAGGCAGAACCACAGAGCAGGCTCTTGCTTTCCCAGCAGGTGCCAAGCTGCGCTGGGAGCCAGGAGGCTGGACCACACACAAGCCCCTCCGCTGGCAGGCACCTGGCCGCTCCTCTCCTTGGTCCTTGCCTTTGTAAGAGGATAATACCCAGGCAGCCTCCCAGGGCTGTCGCGTGACTCAGTGCAACTGCCCTGCCCAGCACTGGAGGGTCACAGCCTCGCTGCACACACGGCTGGCCGCTGAGCCCTCTGCCTCTGCCCCTGTGCCAGGTCTCCGAGGGATGCAGGGAGCTCTGAGCCCATGGGGCAGTGGTGAGATCACAGCCTGCCATGTCGACATCCTTCACAGGCACCGGTTCAAGTCCTGACTGCTCCACTTCCAGTGCTGCTGCCTGTTGGTGTGCCTGGGAAGGCAGAGCAGACAGCCCAGGGCCTTAGGTCCCTGCACCCACGTGGGAGGCCTGGGGGCAGTTCCAGGCTCCTGGATTCAGCCTGCTCCAGCCTTTTCGGGAGTGAAACAGCAGACGGAAGATTTCTGCTTCTCCCTTAAATTCCACTTGTCCAATAAACAGCTGAGTGAGTGCAGGAAGGAAGGAAGCAGAAAGGGATGCACTGGTGGGAAGCGGGCGGCCACCGGAGGGTTGACCCACACAGGTGGGAAGCGGGCGGCCACCGGAGGGTTGACCCACACAGGTGGGATGCGGGCGGCCACCAGAGGGGTGACCCACACAGGTGGGATGCGGGCGGCCACCGGAGGGGTGACCCACACAGGTGGGATGTGGGCGGCCTCCACCTGCAGAAGGGCCAGGCCCACCAGAGGGGGTGGCGCATGCAGCTCAGTCATTTCAAGGACACTTCTGTAGAAACGACCAGGGACCGACCACCAGCAGCTCTCTGAGGGGCTCCCTGCCGCACAGCCCCAGCAAAGAGCAGAGTCCTCAAGGGCAGAGACAATGCTCACGGGGCTGAAGATGTGGGGTCCTACCCTGGTGCTGGAGCCCAGCAGATCCTCCAGGTCCGTGTGGCAGTGTCTCTTGGGGCTGTGCAGACAGCCGTCCAGGCTGGCCCCAGGGCCCTGCGGCCCTGTCCGTCTGTGCAGCCAGCAGGGCTGGGCCCTAGCTGTGCAGGGAGCTCCACGAGGCAGTAACACAGGCTTCCTTTGTCCTCCTCTGCTCTCCAGGTGGAAACGACAAGCAACAAGTCTCCCGCCCAGCCTGTGCCAGCCCACACCACCCTCACCTGTGCCCCCGCTGGCACGGAATTATCACAGCTTTCAGTTTCCAGAGGCGCTGAGAGCTCAGGGAGGAGGAGCCAGCATCGCCGGAATCTGGGGTTAAGGTGAAAGCCACGATCGGCGAGCCTGCAAGACTGCCAGCCAGGGTTCCCCGTCTCACACAGCAGCCACCTCTGCAGCAGCCGGCCGGTCATCTTGCCACAAGGCCAGGTCCCTGGGCACAACAGGAGGTCTCTGATCAACCCCAGCCGCCAGCCTCCTGCACATACAGCAGCTGTGGGCCAAACAGCATCATGGAGGGGCAGGTGCCAGAGACAGACCCAGGTCAGCTGCCAGAGCATCCCCCACATGCCAGTCTACAGCTGTTCTATACGAGACGGGGCATTCAGAGGACAACAGGAAGTTGAAGGCGGCTTCCCTGGGAGGAGCTAGGCTGGCCTCTGCCAGGGTAGGCCTGGTCACTATGCACCTGTGGGCAGAGGAAATGTCCCCTGCCCACTGCATGGGTAGCAGCCTTGTGGGGTTAGGGAGCCCTGCTGTCCCCCAGGGACACTACCATGGCATCCCTCAAAGCACCACCATGGCCCCCCTGCCCACCCCCGGGATATCTGGTGACAGTAATACAAACATCACCACCAGAACAGTGCTCACCCCGGGGAACGGCAGCCGCCTTGGCGGGAGGACAGACCTGGAGCTCAGACAGCACAAGGCAGAGCCAGGCACGCAGCTCAGGGGAGGGAGGGCAGCGGGGTCAGGGCCCCCGGACCCACTGACATTCCCCAGAGGAGCTCTCCTGCCAGAGCGCACACACACACCACACACGTGTCACATCAAGATGCCTGCAGCCCAGTGCCCCCACAGAGGAGCGGCTGAGGGTGGGGACAGGAGCAAAACCAACCATGGCAAGTCCTGCTGCTGCTGCCCCAGACCGCAGTGGGTAACTCCTCTTCGAGTTCTGGATGCACGGTTATTTTTCTTCCTAAAGACTCCACCCACACGGCCACACCTGACCCTGACCACCTGCTCAAGGCCCCGCCCCGTGGAGACAGTGTTTCCCACACTGCCACTCACGGTCATGAGTGGCAGCTGACTCACGTTTCAGGGGTGATGATCGCTGGCCACTTAAAGGGACATAAACCCCAACTGAATGACTTCCCCACTGACACAGGACGGCTCCCCCTTCGTGCCCAGCAGACCCCCGTGTCACAGAGACCAGGGTGCTGTGCTCAAACCCAAGGTCACCCAAGAGTCTCCAGTCTGTGTTCCAGAGGGTACTCTGGGTTGCCGGGAACCCCCAGTGGGTGGCTCTGTAGAGAGGGTGGCCCAAAGTGCCCATGCCCAAGAGTGACACTGGACACGACCTGGCTGTGGCCAGTGCTACCACAGAGTGCAGTAAAACATCCGCAGAAGGACCTGGAGCAGGCCAGCTGTGCGGGCCCACCCCTCTGCCCCCAGGCCTGGGGACATGAAGCCAGGATGAGCGCCTCAAGCCAGGGCAGACCCTGCAGGCACACAGCATGGCAGCCTGCAGGGAAAGGCTCGCCTGCAGCCAACAACATCGGCATTGTACAGTTCACCCCAACACTGGACCCCAAAGGAACACCTTGCACAGACACCTGCTACAGGACAAGGTGTGAATCCTCGACCTCCAGGGCTGGCACCCTTACCCCTCCAAGTGCCTCCCTCATGCCCAGTTCCTGGCCTCACACACTGCGTTCCCACTTGGCACAGCTCAGAGGACCGGAGCCCACATGCCCGGGCCTTGTCTAGTGCCTCCTGTGACTCAGCAAGCTTTTGGTTCCGACAGAATCTCCCAGCCCAGGACCTTGTATTGCCCAGCTCCCCTGCCCATGTGAGTCGGCGGCAGCTTCCCCCGACCTTGATCTCCTTTACTGCAAGGAGGTAACTCATACACGCTGTCAGCCAAGCTCTGTCACCACACACGCTGGCAAGGGCACTGGCTGACTGCCTCCAGGTGCAGAAGGAAGGGGAGGCGGCATTCAAGGAGATGGGGGTGGGGGGTCAGGGGCAGCCATGGGCCCCAAAGTGACTCGGGAGCCGTGAGGCCACTGCAGAGGCAGGGAGACATGATTTCAGTCTTAGATCTCAGTCAGCTTCATAATGCTCCATGCAGAGGACGGGCCACACAGTATGAGCCCCCAGCTCTTCCCCAAAGGATGCAGCAAATGGAATTGATGCAGGAAGGACCGACATGGGGAGGCGGGGCCCACGGAGCAGGCGTGGTTTGGCATCCACTTGGGCCAGTGGGGCAAACGCCACTGCTGCGGCATGGCCACACACACGGCCACAAGCTGTGGAGTTTCTCACTGAGCTCAGCATCTGGAGTCTAGCAGCCAAGGAAACACTGCCTCTGATAGCGTCTTCTCACACCAGCTCCCAAAACTGTCCTACAGAGGGCGTCCTCCACCTGGATACCCTGGACACCCAAGGGGAGCAGAGGTCCACTCCCCCAAGAATGGTCAAAGACACATTAGCCAGCAGCAGCACTGCCTCCAGCTTACATGGGACTAACGGGGTGCCCTGGGCAGGGCAAGGATCCAGGACTCAGAGCTGCCCACCCCGTCTCCATGCCCTCTTTCCCGAGTTTGCACCCCGCACCCCACATGGGGAGTATAGCTTCACCAAAGCCACCTGTGTGCTCCCCACAGTAGCTGCTAATGGCCCCAAATCCTGCATACCCAGAAATGAAGGCCCTGGCTACGTCTTCAGGGAAGTGGGACAGTGGCCCCCAGCCTAGGGCAGAGGCTGTGGATGGGGTGGGGCTGGCTACAGGCTGGGGTACCCATGGCGAGGGGGAGCCCTTGGCAGAGGTCACCAGCAGCATACGGTCAGCGCAACCAAGGCCGGTCCCTCTGCCCATCCCTTCTCCCACTGCGGCATCCCCAGGAGCCCACCGGCCCCCTCAGCCTCAGTTTCCTCCCCTGCATGGGGCGATAACCTCAGGGGCATGGGCGGGATCCAATAAGGAAGCACAGCTGGGCGCAGAACCACGCCTGGCAGCACTAAGTGCTGAACAAATATGAGTCACTTACCCAATTGTTCTGTGTAAGTGCCAGGCAGGTGACGGGCACCTGAAACGCACTTTCACTGCAGGTGCCGGGTTCACACGGGACCCTACAAGCAGCTCACAATGGCGGCCCCACGGAGAGGGGCTGGGTGGGGGACACTCAGAGGAGGTGAGTGACACCCCATGAGACACTCCCCTTCCACACGAGAACACCAGAGACCCGTCTCAAGATGTAAACGCTGCCCTCAAGGCCCTGACCCAGGCCGCGATGCTGGAACAGCTGCTCTGCCACCACACTCAGCCACGGGCAGCAGCGTGGGGCTCAGACAGGGCACAGAAATGCTTGTTTACGAACACAGGTGCATGGAGTCCTGTGCCCCTGGCCAGGAGCCCTGGCTGGGCCCATCCCATATGGAACGGAGTGGCTGGGGGACCGACAGGCAGGGAGGGAGCAGACAGACACAAGTGTTTACCAAAAAGCCAGATGTACCCCCTGTGTCCCCCAGAGGCCTACAGGGTGGGGTTGGCAGGGTAGGGGTCCTCGGACAGTCCCAGGAGGCCCGGGAGTCATGAACTTACTGTGCTGGGGCTCCTTCCTTCCACAGGCAGCTCCTCCCACTGCAAGGCTTCATGCTAATGTCCTGGCTCCCGGCCTCAGCAGGAGGGGGTGGGGAGGCTCAGCAGGTGGGAGGGCCCAGCGCCAAGAGCCGCTGGCAGGTGCACCATGCCTCGCACAGAGCACCCATGCTTACACACAGGCACAGGACACTGCCAGCCTGCCGAGGACCTGTGGGACCGGGAAGCTGACCAGCCAGCCGTGCACTCCCAGGACCTTCCCAGCCTGGGTCTCCAGGGAACTCCGCCCTCCACGAGGTACACAGAACAGTGGGCACAGGTGGTGGCTTCCGGAAGTCTCCTCTGGGGGAACCTCACCCCAAATCTCTGGAGATCTCAGCAGCTGCCTCCCTTCCCCTCTCTCCTCCCTCCCACTCTCTCCTCCACTTCCTGCCTTAGCTCCCAAACGCTCCACCTCATCTGCGATGACTCATAAGAGACCTCACTCTGCCGCAATAACACATCCAAGTAAAAACAAAACCAGGACGCTCAGACAGCAGCTGGAACACCGCCTGCACACTGA